AATTACAGCTCTCCGCGGCTCACACTGGTGGCAAGGGGTCAGATGAGCGGCTTAACAGAGGAAGATTTCAGCCATGAAATCTGAACTGTTATGAGTCTACAGAAAGCCAGGAGCTCAAGGAAGAATCTCGAAATCAGTGGCAAAGTCTCAGAACTGTACAGTGGCTTAAGAGCACACACAGACAGCACAATATAAGTGCCAGTACCCCAGGGAACTCCAGCCATCTCTGCTTGGGCAGAGGTCTGGGTCCAATTACAAGAGTGCTTCCTTGACTGCCGCCTTTTGTAGGAAGGTGATCACATGCTAGAGGTCTCTGTGACATTCCAAAGGAAATCCATGAAACTGGTGATAAGAAGAAATAGTTTAGATGGGGAGCCACGGGCAGGGAGCGCCAGTCTTCCGACCGGCAGCTCGCTCCCTGCCTCGTAGACCCCCGGAGGGAGGGCACCCAGTGCATGGGGAGACATGTGGCCAAGAGCGCTGTGGCATGCCGGCCTTCATGCCAGCCTTCAGGCCAGCTGCCGCTGCTCAATTGAGAACTATCATGACACAGAGAAACAATCACACAATTGGCCCACCATTCACCAGCTGCAGATGCCCACCTATGGACGTGTGTGACTCATTCAAATATGGAAAAACCCTGGGAATACATGCTATACAACGGGCCACTCTTGCTCCTGCCACTGAGAACCAGAAAGGTCCAGAGTCAGCGGAGGAGCAGCTGCTGAACAAGGACTCAGAGAACATGAGGATGCAGATTAAGCCCAAGGGGTCAGAGGTCCTGTGGACTGGGGTCATGACAGCCACTCGGAAGCTGTAAACCAAGAGGACCTTGCACAATACATGCGGATACTCCCTGGAAGCCATTCTTCCCCTGACAGTACAGGCTGTGGTGGAGCTCCCGACAAGTCTGCAACAGGATTCCTGCTGCCTGTGCTGACAGTTGGGGAGAGGACACTAACTGGCTGTGGGGTCCCAATGCAATGGGAGGCTGGAGAGAAAACACTACAAAAAATGGCTTTCGCCCCAGACGGCTCACTTGAATTTTGACAACCCTTAGGCTGTAACTACTTGTTAGATACTTCTTGCATATCTCTGTCTTCCTGAGAAACAACTTCTAAGATACCAACATGTATTACAGCAGTCACTGATATTTTCCTACTAATCTATCCATAACTCTGTAATGTTTGTATTCTTCCTATCCTATTTCATAAATGGATGCATGTTTATTATTATGCGTTTCCTACAACAACCATTGAGAATAGTTAATGATTATTCAATAGGTCACTCATGTATAGTTCTATTTATTTTCTTTTGAAGATACATAAGTAGAGTACAACAACTATTGATAATCTCCTACCTCTTTTGTCTGTAACTCACTATTATTTGTCTATTTGTTTTCCTGAGAAACTATCTTGTAGATAACAATATGTAAAACAATAACCATTGATAATTTCCTACCACTTTGTCTGTAATTTGGTAAGCCCCCCCATTATTGTTATCCTTCTCTTACTCTTTAAAATAAAAAAAAGAAGAAATAGTTTAGATGTTCTCACAATAATAATTATAAACACTAAGCCTGTGTTCACAGTGTGCCATCCCATTTCTAAATAAACTGAAGTGCTTTGGGAAGTTTGTAACATTTTAAAACCTGGTGTCCAGGTGAAGTCTGGTTTGCTAGTTCTAGCAGAGTACAAAACCTTTGTGAATGAAGCATATAATTTTCTAGTAGAAACTGCACTTTTAAACCATAGTGATCAAAGGGGAAAAGATAGGAGTCCTGTGAGTTTGTTCCAGGCCATAGACTTTTCTTTGGGGAGCATAATCAATAAAAAAGTGCTCCAGGACCACAAAAAGATCTAGTGTCTGCCTCAGGAACATATGCTTAACCTGACCTGTCCTTGTAACTGGCAACCTTGTGTGTATCATCCACACCTCGGAGCCTCGGTTTTCTCCTATGTCACTGAGAATAATGCTAGCTATTCCCCCGCAGTTGTTGACAACAGTAAATGAAAATAAATGTGTAAAGTACCTAATGGGTTTCCAATAAATCATAGCATGTGATCTAGAAAACCATTTATTTGTTATCCCCCTCCCATAAATCTCAAGTCTTTTGAACTCTTTTAGGGCCCAGAGGGAATGTTCCTGTGCATAGGGGATCATGGGCATCCCCCATTCACCAGGCATGAGCCTTGCAGTGAACAATCACTATATTTGAGGACGCAGAGACCAAACATGAGTAGCAGAGTCAAAAACCATTACTTCCACAGTCTGAAGGGCAAGGGTACAAAATTCTACTCATTTTCAATGGAAGTTTTTCTTCAATTGATGGATGCTCTAGAAGGCAAATCTGAGTTCAATTAAATGACCATCAAAACTGCAGTAGCTCTCTGATAGGATAAGTAGCTTTCTAACATAGCAAACTGTAGATTTTTAGTGCCAGAGTGGGATTTTTCTACCATGTGAGATATTCAATCAAATACATCTTTAACAATATGTAAACATATTAAATATCCATGCTTCCACAGGCATTGGCCTACTAAATCCTCACAACTTTATGAAGTGGATGTTTGTCTCCCTCCGTTTGTACCTTAGGCAACAGAAGTTAATAGAATGGGCCAAATACCAGTGGGTAACCAGCTTGGGGAATATTGTAGAGAGGTACTCCAGATAATACATAATATGTGTCTGCCATTTACTTCTCATGACAATTGTATGTGTGCTTGACAATAAGTGAGGATACTCTGGAACATAGGCTAGTTGAGATATATGGCCAAATGGAAAGCAAAACAACTCTTTCAGTCTCAAAATTCTATTACAATTTCAAGAATTAACTTTTTTGCTCCCCAAATGGACTTAGTCTGTCTTCAAAACTCCTGTATCATAAATAGTACTATTAACGCTTCTTTCTAGCTTTATTAATATTAATGCAATGAGAAAGAAGCTACACAATGATGTATTCTAAGCTGCAGTTATTGATGGTTACCACATGCTAGGCAAAATGCTAAATATGTAACATGAGTCTGTTGTTAATTGTAATCATAGCAACACCAGAGGGCGAATGCTGCAGCTACTGTTATCGTTCTATGATGTGAAGCACACAAAATCGGCAAAACTTGCTGGTGGCTACATGGCTAATCATGACAGAGATGAGAATCAAAATGAGGTGTATTTTATCTTTCTTTACAGCTGAGTAATATTCCATTATACGCTTTTATAGGTAAATGGTCACAACTAGAGACCACAATCATAAGTGAAATAAATCAAACATACATGTGCAAACATCACATTGTTTCTCTAGTGTAAAGCCTGAAAGAATTAATTTAAACTAGGAGATATGATAGACATTGTAAATTGATAGGAAAGCACTCCAAGGTAAAGGATAACTGGGATATGGGAAAAGAGAAGGTAAAGAAGGAGAAAGTTTGTATGTATGTATATGAAGGATAGTTAACATGGCTGTTCTACTGTCTTGTATTTCTTTGCTGAAAGAAACTGTCAAATAGTCCTTGGTTGATCAGCTTTGTATGTCTATATCTGTTTTCATGAGAAACCACTTTGAAGATATCAATATGTAATACAACAAGCATTGTTAATTCCCTACCACTCTGTTTGTAACTCTGTACTGTCTGTACTGTTCCTTTGCTATTTTGTAAAATGTCGGCTGTCTGTTAATATTTTCCTCCTTTTATTTTTAAAATAAAAAAAAATGAGGTGTATTTACTTCAGAATATGCTGTCATAGTCTCTAAGCTAGATGGTATTGTATGTACACAATATAGTCCTGCAACTCATCTTTAAGTAAGGTAAATTTCATAGATTTAATTAATAAATCAACTGAGGCCACATACATGTGAATAAATCCTGATGGTATGATTAATAAATTCAAAACTGGCATTTTCACATACCCTTTTCCAAGGCCAATATTGTATTTTTATTTAACTAAGGGCTTCATCTTTAATTGCTTTCAGAATTATGAATCTATGACATTTTAATAATAATCACCAGATTTGATGCCTTTCTGAGAGATTTTTAAATATTCTAGGCAAGGCATGGGAAAACACTTTGGTTTAAAACTCAGTAGTTCACAGGGAAGACAAAATTCAGCTAAGTTAAATTAGTCTCTGTTCATCTCAACTTCAATAAAAAACATAAATCATCACGTTTATTTTTGTAAAAATAATTAAAAAGCCAGAATACAGCAAACTTTTAAGCATGCCATTTAATATAATATCCTATAGCTCAGTTCTTTTTTACGAATAACTAAGAATGGGAGCTAGAAAAAGAAGAGAAAGGGATTCCAGAGATAATGAGAGGGGACAGAGAGACACAGCGAAACCAGAGGAACAACAGACCGAGACGTAAGGGACAATGCCTACCTGCAATGCACACATCCTCACTGCCCAGGCCTACATCCTTAGCTAAGAGACACATGATATGCAGTGGGTATATAATAAATGATTAATTAATAAAGGAGTAATCCCAGAGCATGGCTTTTTATTAGAGGAGATCCCAATGTATTGCTTTTGTAGCTGGCAGTGTAAGGACCCTGTGTTTAGTCACCAGTAAAAAAAAACGTTATTTTGTTCTTTTACCAGCCACAGCATCGTCTATTGGCACTTGGCAGTAGATCAGAGCAAATAAAAGGTTCATTTTTATTCAAACATAAGGATACACATTAAGGTAAATTTACAAAACTATTATAAATTACTGGTCAGAGCATTTTAATGAGCAATTACTCTTCAAATCAGTAGAATTATAAGTCGGTTTTGCTGTTGTCCATTTCTCATCACAGAAACTTTGTGTTTGATCTCCATCAATCACCTAAGCACTGCACGATTGATCACCTAAGCATTGCACCATTGAAATTCAAATTTATAACTTAAAGACACACAAAGTATCCCTGCATACTTTAGATCCATTCAGGAGTTTTGCTTTTCTACATCAATGAACTGTATTTGCTATCGCTGGTGTACACCAGACTCCAGGAGGCCTCAGTACCTGCTGCTTATCCAGACGCATCCTCTTGGCGGCATTTCTGCTCTCGCTCTCACAAGCTGAAGCCAAAATACTCTCGGCAACTGCTGAAGTAAGGTGGGAAGGAATAGGTCGAGACTAAAAGAAAAGAGAGAAAAAATATGAAAAAATTATTAACAGTATCATTACCAGGCCTACGCAATGCTCCAAAGAGCTCAGAGGACCAGCAACACGTGCAGGAATGTCCATTTATTTCAACTGAGTGTATTTCGATAGAGAGAGGAGATGGAAATTGCAAAGATGAAAAATGAAAGCTAGTTAGAGGTTAAAGCTGTAGTTGCATCATTATTCCTAGAGCTCTGTTGTTGCAAGTATTTAGGCCATTAAGGTGGAACCAGTAGTGGCAAAATTACTGACTGCATTTTGCAAATAAAACAAATCCTTTAGTGTTTTTGTAATACAGGACAACGCACGAAAAAAAAAAAACAAACCAAAAAAAAAAAAAACCAAAGCAAATGACAGGGCTGAAACAGAGCTGAAAAACTAACAGACACTCAGACCATGTCAAACAATCTTCATAAGAATAATATGAATGTTTACAGTCTAAATTGTGCAAAGCAGTGGGATTAAAAGGCCTTAAAAACATTTCAGCTTAAATATAAACTAAAAGTCAGTCCTAGAATGAGATGGTTTCCAAATATCAGAAGTTTGATGTTTTAGATATAAGATTATTTGCCTATGTGTGTAAATGCATGCTTTGTTTTATTTATAATATATATAGATTATGTTAATGATTTAATAGGTACTGTTGGAAATCCATCAAATACATGTGTATATATGTGTATGTATATATATTAATTAATTAGTCCCCCAAATAAGCTCCTAATTAACTGCAAATTATTTGCAACTCTTCATATCATTTTTGATAATCATAGAAAAGTTTTCCATTCTTTTTTTCCCATAATTACATGCAAAATCATCTAGCTGAAAGATGAAAGATGGAGTATTTAATGACACAGAACATTTTTAATTAAGATAAGCAAATGATAGAGAAGAAGTAAATTAAACCATATGAATAGTAATGTAAAACTGCAAAATAAAAGTACATTTGAGACTCTGGTAAGTATAGCAGTACGCCGCTTTAAGATTTTCTAAGCCTTTGTCCATAATAGGTATAAAAACAGCGATTAGAAGTCTCTGAACTAGTTGAAATCCTTTTTTTTTCTAAAGGAACTTGAATGGGGCTTTTTTTGTACATTTCATTTATTAACTTTGACATGTGACACTTATTTTAGCCAACTGAGTAATTAATTGGGCCTGTGTCTCAAATAATATTCTTAAAACAGTTAAATTCAGACTATTCAGCTGCTCCTCAGTGGAATTTGTGTAATGTGGAAAGAAACCAGAGTCTGACCTCGAGTGAACTAGGAAGCAGTTCTGCAGCTACCTCGGCAGACATGCTCAGTGCTTCTATTTCCAAAGGAGCTCCTGCAGGCAAAAGGCAGGCCCAGCACAGGACCCTCACAGGCTAACCTGTGAGATGTCTCGGATGATGGCGAGACCACTCTGACAATAAAGCAGCAGGATCATTAAAATCCTCTTTCTGCAAAAGAGAGGGGCCCCTGCAATGGGAGGGAACATGCAGCAGGAGCACCTTGGGGAGGCAGTTGGAAGGGCATACCTGTGCTTTGATGATGGAGAAAATGGTCAAATGAAATAAATCTAAAAAAAGGTGTCATACAATGACAGAAGTATAACCTTAAAATAAATATTGCCTCTTCATTTTATTTCCTGCTCCACAAAATATATGGATAAGGCAGTGTAGTCCACAACCAAATAAATATTAGGCTCTAAATCAATGTCTTCTTAAAAGATGACCCTTACCTAGCTCAATACTACAAATTACAGGGGAATTCTGGGTCTATTAATGTTCTTCTTGCATAAATGATTTTTTGAGGCAAAGGTGTTACAGAAAATGTGGGCATAAGGCTATTCCTCTGTGGAAGAAAACACAAATTATTTAGTGTGATTATTAGGCAAACAGGAGTGAGAGTTCACACTTTTATAAACTACATTATTAGACCCTTCCTCTCATTCCAGGGATGGAAATAATGATCTTTAATGAAATATCAGCAATTTTGCTTTTTTCATTTCAGTTTTTGATAGCCACACAGGATTCAGAGATACGTCCTTCTATTTTTTTATTACCTCTATTTTTGTATCAGGTACTACTCTTCCAAATTAGGAAGTATAAAGCTAAGGCATTTTATTAAACTGATTGAATTGTATTAATAAACCTACAAGTTTCTTAAACATCTAGGTTTCTTGAGCAGGGACAGCAGAAGCTGCATCACGTTTGTTTGTTATTGAGCTGTGTTTTTAAATTAAAACTGGTTGTATTTCTTTTCAAATTATTTTTCCTTTACGTAACACAGAAGGGACATCTTTTACTGAACTAGTAATAGCTATTTATCATTATAATTATGTAATTTTTGCAACTATGCTCTTCATAATACTTTATGTAATATCACAAGGCCTGTAGGCTCTAGGCCAGGTGTGTTAAACTGATTCTCTCTGAAACTAGGTGAAAGTCCCCCTGACCAAAACAAAAGACTCTAAGTTCACCTGACAACCTACTATATCAAGATTTGAGAAAAAAGTTAACTTTGAAATACAACAGTTATGTGCTATGTCCTACTGAATGAAAACATAAATACAGGTAAATGATTCAACACTATCCATGTATATAAGGTATAATTTGAAAAATGGCATTGTTCTGATTTTATTGTAGAATCATAATTTGATAATTGTAAATGGTCATGTAAATGATTTGGCATCATGTTCTTTGATGTTTGAGGAAACTCAAACCCAGACAGATTAAGGAATTTGCCAAAGGACAGACTGAACTATGTCTAGAAGCTAGATTTCGTGTTTCCTAAATTTTAGCTCTTTCTCCCCCTGCATTCTATTCTTTACTTAGTACTTTTACATAGTTTATCATTAATAAAATGTTCCAAAAATTCTTATATAAAAACTATTGTGCTCATCTAAAAACTAAGCTGACTAAAAATAGCCTATACGTGCCTATTATAATCATAATAGATTCATGCTCATTGAAAAGACTAGCAAAATAAAATAATAATATCTGGAGTATAGCTTGATATATATGTTTCAAAGACTTTTCCATATCTCAAATATGTAATAAATGTTTATTTCTCAATGGAAAATCACGGTATTCTAATTTAATTTTAGATGAATATTAATAACAGTTAATTCCTATGGAGTGCTTAGGGTGGTCAGACATTAATACAAAAAAAGCTTAGATTCATTATCTGAGCCTCCAAATAATCCTCAAAATACTTTATTGAAAAGTATTTTGTAGAAAATTATAAATTTACCAAGACCATGAAACTACATATGTAGATATGGTGCATTCAAGTGTAAGCATGGTGGTAAATTGGAAATAATCCATAGCAAGGAATTTTTCTCATTTTACAACTAAGGCCTCGATGAGATTTAAAAATCCTAGAGATCCTGAACACTACAAAGGAATTCTTTTAAAGCTAACCTCATTTTGTGCTTCAGCCTAAATGTTCTAAGGTCATTCTAAAATGATTGAAATTCTTCTCTTCTGTTTTCTCATTAATTATTTAAAATCCTTCTTCATTAATAGCATAAAGATAAAAATGTAACTTGTCACATTAAATCACAAATTCTAAACTGATGTGATCTAAATTCATAAGGTTTTAGTACTGGAGCAGCCAGAAGAGCCAAGACATTGTGGCTGTGTATGACACATAACCAAGCTTGTTTTCACATCCAACATGGGGATGCAGGAGCCGGTCCCTGAAATTCTTTCTCTCCTTTGAAGTAACCGTGTTAAAAATCCTTTCACCGCTAACACTGAGGAACCAGTAATAAATGCCAGGGCTCCCACTTCACACACAACTCAGTAACGCCGTGCCTGGTTATAAAGTATTGACGGTGAAAGCTGTAGGCTTATTTTTGCTCCATACTTGGCTTCTGTCTTTTTCCCATTTTAGAAGTACTCTTATCCAGAAAGTGAAGGGGAAATTAACCAATTGTGCTTCTTAGAAAACAACTTTATCATAGAGAAATTTAAAATGATTGTTTGGTATAAATTCTGAGAATCATTGTCATCCAAAATCTCTTTCCATCAGCTGTTGAGAGCTTATCTTAGTATCATTGCTTTAAGGTCTTCCTGGAACATAACCGCAGCGTGTGCTAAGGATTGATAGTCAGATACTGCCGGAGACAAGGGCTAAAGATTCCCAGAGTGGCCATGAAGCACAAAAGCTTCCATGTAACAACCAGAGGTAACAATATTTTCACAGAAATATCAAACGCAAAGTATTAAATAAACTTGTGAAAAACAGCCTTCTCTTTCAGGTGGAAGACATGTTAGTAAACATACTCTTTGCTACATATCTTAAAAGAAGATTAAAAATAATGATAAACGTATATAATTATACACTGTCCATGATCTGTACCTACACTGGGGAGATCTGTTCCTGTTTTTTCTGTGAATATAAGATGCTGCAATCTCTAATTATCTCTTCATAATTAACCACCATTCTCAACTGGGATGTGAGCTGAACTTTCCCCAACACTGTTCTTATCATAATAATTATCTAGGCTCAAATCAGTGGTGGCTGTTTTGTCCAACAGATGGCTGCACTGTCACATGGAGCTTTTTGGGTTTAAAAAGTCACATTTTAATTGGAACTTAAGATGCGACTGCTATTGGCACAACGTAAATCTGTCTTTCCGTACAGATGCAAGAGAAACTTGTCACCACACCAACAAGCTATTCCATCTTTTAGTGGTAAAACTATAAAATTAAACAGCTTTAGAGTCTCCTGAACTTTGGGTGTACATCTAAGATGCTGTGGAATTGTTAGAATTTTTTAAAAAGTTTTCAAAAATCAAAAATGTAAGGTTATGCTTATGGGTTAATGTGCTGATGCTCTGCATATTTTAATGTATAAGTAAAGCTATATCAATTATTAGGCAAGGTCAGATTGGGAACATCTGTGACATCTACTAAGATTCTAAATATGACAATCTCTTAAAAGACCTTTAAATAAATAATGTAATAATCAGAATTTAGGTAGGAT